TGTGTGTGTTTGTTGTGTGTGTGTGTGTGTGTGTGTGTGTGTGTGTACACGTGTTTGTGTGTGCGTGTGTGTGTGTGTGTGTGTGTGTGTAGTATTGTTCGCTTGATACTTGCATATAGCACCCTTTCAACTAAAATATTGATATTTGCTGACACCCCTGCCAACTGTTGGCTGGTTTATGTGCAACAATCAAGTGTCATACATCTACATACTCGTCTGATGGCATTATAATGTCACACCCATTGCATATCTTGGTCATCTGAACTTCCATACCTTGTGATGGACCACCCATTAGGATGATAGCTTTTACCCCCGGCATACTTTAGTATGATAATGTGAATCGAGAACTAGGTTGTGAAATTACTACTGGTGTGAGTGTTTGATTGAATGAGACATATGTATAGTGTCTCGTTGTTGTCACCAGTAAACCGAGAGTCTACTACTTCTGAACAATAAAACCACAGGTCATATAGCGAATATTCATAAATTTGTGGAACAAGACGCCTCACTTTTTAGTGCCTAACGTAGCCAGCTTTAAAAAAGTTTATGGCCGTTCATTGTTGTGAAAAAAATATAATCAATCACATTCACACAAGATCTGTCGCTCTTTGTTTATTATTTTTATTTACTGTAGTGCTTTTTGTTTCTATGGAGAAGTTTGTCGGCGGCTGCAGCAACCACTATTTATTTGTTTTGCAAAAGATCTATTTTTGAAGACGTTTTTATACCTTTTTTTATTTATGTATCTATATATTTATTTATAGGCCCGCTCTCATCCCTAATTTTGAAAATGAAATGAAATATTAATTATGAAATTTCGGAGCCCGAATTTCATTTCTAGCCTTTGCGGCAAAATCAGTCTCACTGCTGATTTTCGGGAATGAAATGAAATAAAAAATAATATTTATACAGAATTTTTTTTAAAAACAGGAATGAGTTTTGTTTTTTGTTCTTTCTTTTTATTAATTCTAATACTTTGAAATTCAAAAAACCATATAACAACCAATAGGATCACGATTTCACTCGAATTTCATATTTCGTCAAACAACTTCTTTCCCCCCCCCCCCCTGGCAAAAAAGGTTGACGAAATTTTATCTATTTATCAAGAAATTTTTGAATGAAATATAAATAAATTAAATGTATTTACAGTACAATGTAAATATGTACATAGTATGTATGAGGGTGGACAGAATGGCCTTAGGTTTTGCACCTAGGTACATGCACCTAGACCCTCGGTCCTTAATCACCGGCTCATCAGCACACGGACTCTCACAAATTGATGAACCACTTGGAACTAATTAGACAGTAAATGGTACTCCAATAAGTGCAGTACAGTACTCCAACCTTGAAGTATCGTCTGCAAAAAAAAGTATATTAATAAACCTTTGACTGTTAAGAAGTTCTATATCATCTGTAAAGAAACTAAAACAATTAAGTTAGATAGAAGTTAGTTCAAGAACAAAGACGAGTGAATTAATTTATTATTTTTCCGATATAATTAACAAAGGAAGATGTCTGTCGACAAACATCACCCGCGATGACTTGTGGGGCCTTAAATGTACGAAGGGCAGAATCTTCGATGCTACTCCACGTGGATTGAGCGCTGGCAGGGTTTCACCAATTATCTGCTTTCCGCAAGATTGATCCCAATGACCACGGTCGCGATTCCCCGGTGCCGGAGACAACGTCTGGTTTCTCTGTCCAGGTGAACCTCCTACTGACGTATCTGGATAAGCGACTAGTTTTCGAGGTTCATATGAATATGGAATACAAACTGACGTGACGGTGGTGGAGATCAACCGGAATCTGGTTGGCAACTATGGCCCATCGGTTTTCCTCCTGACCCCTGGTTGGATTGCCTTCTCGGCCCGTCTTCGGACTGACTCTGTGTACAATCTGAGGCCTTGAAGTGCTGGCGGTGAAAAGTAGTATTTACCATCTTGACCAAGAGGTTTGCCCGAACCGCCAGCGGCACTAGATTTCGCCCTCGGATGCGCATGCTTCAGGCTGACCAACAGAGACTTCCGATGCCTGTGCCGTTCCAACCCCAACTCCAGTCGATGCCGCCGCCTGTCTGGTTGCCCCAGTGGAACATGGCCCCTACTAGCCCACGGCCCAGTGGCTTTAGCCGTTTACATAGTCGACGCCCTAGGACAAACCTAATACCAGATGTAAAAGTCAGACTAATCAGGCTAACTATCGATGTCAATAAGTTAACGTAATAAAGAAAAGTACGATTCCAAAGTAAATTTGCACAATGTAATTTAATTTTAGCTTCAGCCCTGTAGAAATACGGCCTCCGGTCAGTCTGAAATATGACTCACTTACTTGGACCTATTTAAGACGATAGTAGATGTAGGATATTATAAACTAAATTTTTGTAATCTCTGAACTACTACTTACAGATTTTTGTCTTCCCGCCAATCTCCAAAATCCAATATGTCTTTTTCTTTTCTTAACTTTTCTTCAGATGGAACTTTATTAATATTAGCTAATGTATTAACTTGACTTACGTTCTTATGTCTATCTAAAAATTAGACATATGGTCATGAACTCTTAGTACTTCTGGTGAAAATCATTCAATAAAGGACAGCTAGAGGTACTGTGTCCTGTGTGATCGAGGATATTAAGGATCTTACCAAGAGGCAGTTCTGATCATTATTACACAAGCTACCACTGCTAAATTCTAACTGACTTAAATTGCATCTTAGTTTATATAACATAGTTTAAGACATAGAAATATACATCGAAGTTACTTATTTTTCAGTTAGTTAGTAGTTACCGTAGTGTACTGTATCTAGACTGTCTAATAATTGCTTACTATTCAGTGACAGGACTGTAAGTATTCTATACTACCCCATAGTGGCTAATACTACCCTAACGTTAGCTACACGTCAGCTGCGGCAGACGTTGCAGCGGCTGCAGCAGTGGCAGCGTCTTTATCCATATTCTTCTTTTCAGCCTTTTGCTTCTTAGAAGGGGTGTGGTCTTTCTTGGTCATATTATTTACTTAGGACTTCAAGCTATTCTCTTAAGGAATGCCTGAACTTTCTTGGTCAAGAAAAATTATATGGTAGTTAATTACCACTATGTTTAAGCAGTCTAAGTAGTTAATACTTTTACTAACTTTAAAATGTGTAAGATTCGGTCTCTTAAGGCGATATTAACGTCTTAGAGTAGTTAACCGTAATAAAGTCTTCTATAGCTCAAATGAAATTAAGGCAAAATAAACGTAATTTGTCTTTTAGTAAAGTTAGGTTTGCCTCGTGAAAACAGCAGTACTCTGAGGGATTGTGAGGCTGAGACATTGCCTATATATAGTCCTCTCAGTATTGTTTTTGCCGAAGGGATTTTAATCAGTGTTTCATTGTCGTTCTAATAGAAACTATGGTATGTTTCGTTGGGGCGAATCCGAGAGTCTCATAAAATTCAACCTTTAGAAAAAAGAAAAGAAAAAAGAAAAAATACTCTTGATGTCCATAGTTATTGCATTAACCAATAACTTGCCACTTATCAAGAATTACCGCCATAGCCTTTATCAGACTGGCACATCTGGTTGGCTGAACGGAGGTTAAACTAGGTAACGCTAATACTCCCTAGAAACCTATATTCGGTTGAGCCATCTCGCTACCGAAGTATTCAGATATAAATAGATTTGGAAAGTAAATATTGTTCTATTAATAGAACTAGACCAAATCTTGTGTTTGATATTTTACTGGGGCCTTTTAATGGCCTTGTCCAAATATATGATGTGTAAAATGGAAAAAAAAACCATTTAGGAAACTTAAGTTCCTCGTACTATTAAAAGTACGTTTATAGTTTACGTACTGCTAAAGTTTATGTTTCTAACATAGAGTCTAATGTGGAGGCCCGGCTATTACACTAGTTACTATACCTAGACTTTATTAATTTTCCTATTCTTGAGCTGTTACTTTGGCTAAAGGAAATTTTAAAGGCAAGGGAGCCGCCAGCTCTAAGCCGGCTAAGCCTGTTGAGGTTCCTGAAGTTACTGGCGACACTGGTCCGTCTGGTACTGCGCCTGCCGTTGAAGCTGTAGAGGAAGCCGTTTCTGAGCTTGGTTCTGAGGAAAATTCTGAGGATGATTCGTCGGACCCTAAAGCCTAGGCAGTGGAGGTCTCGACTGCTGCGGAAAGGCTCGCCAGCGTCCGTGTGCCTCCTAGTAGTGCAGCCCGGGGTCTCAGCGCGCCATCTGACCGCGAAAAGTTGGATCTTCTCAATCTCGACGCCATTTGAACCGCAAAGATGATCTTTTAAGAGAGCTAGCTGCTGCCAGCTTCTGACCCTTCGATCATATCCCACGTGGCTGATATTCTTCCTAAACCGAAGAAAAAAATCCGATCCAGGTTTCAAACCTGGGACCCGCAGATTCACCAGCCAGCAGAGTTACCACTGAACCAGTTTCCGCTGGTAAAGTGGGTATAACTTCAAATTTTAATCTCTATAGCTCGGAAGCTACAATCGACCATCCTCTCGACAAACCTAGCCTGTCAGAGGCTATGATCGTATGGAAATCGATGAGGCTTACCACCCTCATAACATCGATCCTCATTTACCATCTAACCCTAGTAATCATGACTTTGGTAATCGTTATACCAGTACCTCACTAGAGAGTACCCACTCTAGCTCTAAAGACGAGGAAGTGAGAACCAGACAACATCGTCTCAGGCTATTACGTTCTGGTATGCAAGTCCTTGTGGACA